CATGATGCCCCCTAACTGGAATAGACCCACGTGTTATATTTTGAACTTCCCTTACTTTCTCGAAAGAGGTGTGCTGCACACGTTGTGCTATTCGTTTGGCATGAAAGAGAAAATTCAATAAATCATGAGAACATTCAAGAGGCCGTGTTATATGGCCGTTTTCAATCGAAGAAGCTGAATAAGTAGAAATCCTCTTTTGTATGTTAAAGCCAGTTGTTGCGCATAACGCATCCGACTCTTCTCACTGCAATGGGCTTTCGTACCTTTTTACTGCGATATTTGTTCAATATTTCTTCACGCCGTAACTTTATAGTTTCTCCTTTGTGGATTAGATATTCGCCTCCAAATCAATGTGAGCCTCTCAACAAACCGAATTCGGAAATGTCGACTGACAATAAGTAGATCTAGAGAAATGAAGATATGCACCGGATTTCCTGGATGTTTTCTCACCACCAATACACTCAAGTAGCAAGCAACACAAGACGCTTACTTTAAATCAAAACTTGTAGCTCTGTAGTGTTAGAGGTATCCATAGCTTCCAACAATTTGAATCCAGCGACAAAGTGATGGTAAAATTCGGACTTTTTCGTGCAGCAACACCTCCAGCTATCTCTCTCCCCCTTTCCCTCTCCCAATAATCCAGAACGCGTCCTCCTCAGACCGAATTCATCAATATGCATAACTTGACTCAATACCTTCAAATACGCTACTACCCTATACAAAATATTGCTGACAAATTTGGTATGGCAAGATACTAACTTTACAAGGGGAAGGCCACATCACTCACTACACACTCAAGGTTGAACTATCATTCTAAAGAAGTTGATTATTAACGGCTATCTCGTCATCAATTGACACCTGGCTTTTGTAGTTGAGTTCAGTCTGCCACACTGGCACTGACCTGCTGTGTCTCTTCACATGCGCTGAAACGTCTTGTTGCCAGACGGAATCGGAAAGGCCTGATTACAAATGGATTACATTCAGTTTTTAACGTTGCAACTTACTATAGGCGTAATTTTTGTCTTCTGATGTAAATAAAGTGTTTTGAGCGTTGTAATGATTACTCCACAACGTAGCTATGTAAGCTGTGCAATCGACAGTACTATGGTCGAACCGTGCTCATTATACGAAGCGACACGCTAAACTGTTTCCCGTAACCTGGGTAGCCGTAATTGCAGAATCAACGTGGGGCACTGCTCTCCCTGCACCATATGCCCTCTATGCAACACGATGCAAAGACTGCTTCTACGGCATTAGTGATTACGGAAAACAATGTGCACTTGCACTCAGTTCCATTGGTCAATCCATTGTGATAGGTTACCATATTCGCGCGCACTTAGTTCTGTGATACCACCCGTCGAGCACTACTCTTTGTATCCGACAGCCAGGTGCGTCTCGACCAAATAACGCAGGGTGAAGATCACCTTCACAAGAATCTGGCAATTGAAAGTTTATAGTGACAGCTGTGCTCGATTGATAAATGATGGCTGTAACTAAAGACAATTAAAAGAATACAACTGAAATCGGCTAATCATTCCGTTAGTTAAAAACATTACATTTTCTAGAATTGGTGTTATTTGGTCTGCGCTGCAGACGCATTAACTGTTGTATGCTATACGAAGTTATTACGGGAAAAGAAACAGGTGAAAACAAATGAGCTAGAGGACCGGATGGAAGAGGAACGGAGACTGTCATCAGGTCCGCTGTTTGACGGTGCGTGACTGAACGCTGATAATGTTCGTCTTCCATGATCTCACTTCTATACAGAACCTCACCTCAAAGCTCTTTCCAAAGATGATTCCAATAGATGGACGCTAGTCGTCGAAAGGAATAGCAAATACTCCTGCTATCATTTCCAACAAGCCATGCCCAACAATACGTACCCCTCGCCGTTCGGGGAGTTATACAGTGGTCGATGAAATATTATGAAGGCGTCGCTAACGGAGGAGAGATTGTAATGAAACGAGAGCAGCGAACGAAAGAAATAAGCAATCTTGGCATAAACATATCCGGTGGCAATCAGATAAGCATGAGAAAAAACAAACAAAACAATCGCTTGATGGATACGACATCAAAAAAATGACTCTTCTTAAGGCGATTCTGTTCCGAAGAAGCATTCCAGAAGGGAAAATTTAAAGTTTCTGATCTAAAACTTACGAAGGAAATAGGAAGCGTGGACTAGCAGAGCAGTTGTGAGCCAACCGTTTCGAAGGATTTACAACTACGTTTCAAATTCGTTCACCTTTGGTAGATAGAAGTCATGAAATTCAGTCCAAAGTCGAGAGACAAATCGATAATGCTGACTAAATGCTGCACAGAATACACTATAGCTAGAAATTTGGAATACAATAATGGTGCTTGAAAAGCAAATCAGTCAGCATATTTGCGTTGCACTCTTTGATAATCGTTGAAGGCTTACGATGTTCTGCAGAACGCACCATAAAGACCGCTTTCATGTAACGCGATTGAAGGCTTGTGGGAACGAGTTTCGCATTGTGGACATATGTTAAAACATCTCGAAGTGTTTGCGAAACAGATCAGAAGTTATTTTCACTGATGAGTAGTGCCTCTGTCACACCTGACTTCAACGAAATCACTTATCCATGCGGATCATCATGGCACTAAAATCGAACTTAAGGGTGCCTGGCGCAATGGTACTTGGGGTGGGGCACCAAGCAATCGCGGTAGGATTACAGAACACTGTTTCAGAGCTAAACCATGAGGAGGAGAAGGACTTCGTGGAGCAAAAAGCTTCCCATATCCCGCAAAGTTCATCCCTGCTGCCTGTGCTGAGTTCTAGCGGCCTTTTTACAAAATGCCCCCCCCCCCCCCCCCGAGCCAACATTGCCTCCGGCGTATTTATGGTCAGTCGTGCGATCGCTGCCATCGCACAGTAACAGCGTTGGATACGTATCGATCGCCCAATCCTCGAACACGTCTGATCGATACGCATCCAATGCTGTGGTGGATGCCAGACTCGGCAACTATGCAATCGCCGCGATTCTGGCGTGATGCCAGTCACGAGTGGGGAGTGACGCCAAATGCAAACCATACGGATCAATAAACACAGCCCGCTCGGATATTGCTCAATCGCCGAGTCTGACATCCACATGCGCGATCGTTACGATCGGACGACCGGTCTATGAATGCGTCCTTTCACCAAGTGGGCGATTGCGACAACACCTCACAATGTTTTGTGTTTGAAATTTGTTAGACATATACAGTCGATATCCGAAAGTTGGGGTAGGGTGTCACCGGAAGTGACGTGCACTTGATAGAAGTTGCGTGGATAAGCTGTTGCCAGCATGCTTTGCTGATATCTCGCGATGTATATTGGAAGCAGCTTATCCACATAGATTCTATCAAGTACACGTCACTTCCGGTGACACGCCTACCCCAACTTACGGATCTCGAGTATACTCTCCCTTTCAAAAAACGAGAAGAGCGTCGGGTGCAGACCATACACCACAAGTGACGACGGCCTCCACAAAATGTAAATGTTTTCTGCCAATGAAATGATTAGCCTGTTGCAGTTGTATTCTATCAGTTGTCACTATTACAACTATCATTTACAAAATTGGGTGCTAACTTAGTTGGGGGGGGCCACGCGGCGGCGCGGCAGTCTGCTCACCTGGGCTCTCTCGAGCGAGACAGTGTAAACTCGAACATTCCAGCTTTTCACGCATGTCAAGTGACTGCCCCACCCCCCACCCCCTAGGCTGGCTACACTCCCCCTGGCCCACGGATTTCCGAACATGCCAGGCGAGCAGACTGCCGCGCCGCCGCGTGCCCCCCCCCCAACTAAGTTAGCACCAAAGTAAGCTAACTCACTATGAAGCAATACTAATTCAAATTTATTAAAGGGTGTCGTAACTTGTGGTGTATGGTCTGCAACCGACGCTTTTACTCATATTTTGAAAGGTTAAGAAAAGTTTGATTTGGACGATATGTAGTGTATTTAGGGTACCTAAGCCAAGGCAAAAAAAACACA